GACTTTTATCAGGAACATGTACGTGGTAGAATATAAATATTACCCACGCACTGGTTTAATTTATCATTCAAGGACATAGTGCTAAAAGTTAAATTTGTTTCAGAAAACGGATGAATTGCTTGAATTACTTAAAATAAGTGCAGACATATCGCCAGAGTTCAGAATGAAATGCTGGAAGAGTGTGTTGAATAATCTTAATCATCCCAATTGCGCACCCCCCCAATAGAAAAATAGCAACAGTATTGAAGTAAGGATAATGACGAAACTTTCTTCTTTTTTACTCGATCGAATTGGGTGGAGATTTATTTGTTCTTTTTTTTCTGAAGGCTATATCAATTCTTATATCGAGATACAGTCGATGATCTTCAGATATTCAGCGAAAATCAAGGTTTCGATACTCTGTCACGGGTAAATATGGATTGCGGAGAAGAGAATTATCCCGAAGATTAGAAAATCTCTTGAGAGATGAGATCTTTCTTCAGTGTTTGAATGTAATTCATATTTATCTCAAGTTGGCCGTCCGTGCTTCCGATGAAGGTAAAGAAACTATGCTGTTATGCTAAATTATTGTCCTTTGCAAATTACCATTATTTCCTGTACCCCCTAATAACTATTCTCTATCATTATTTTCAAGTCTCTATAAAGTTCACTTGAATCATGGTCGGAAAGAAAAAGGTTTGCAAGACTTTTAATTCACTTTCTGCATCCTGGAGTTGACCATGACATTTATATTCACGTAATAAACATACTGTGCTATATGTTGAAGATACCAAGTGCTCGTGATATATACACAGAGATACTGCAGCCCTTGATCGATAGTCATTTGGACTGGCAGAAGAAAGCAATTCAAGCATCATCAGAAGGTCAGTCACACGAATAAAGACAGTTGGCTTATTTACATTTAATCCACAACACGTTCTCTTTACCCATCTCATCCATACAGCAGACCTTCACGTATACTTTGGTGGTCCACGCTCACCGTTTCTTACCCTTCTTGGTGTACCTGGTCGCAACGGCCCTTCATTATCAACAAACGCACGCACCCACGTTTATAGACCATTCTTGCAGAAATTGTCAGTTAAGAGATTAGAAGAAGAGCTGTATAAACCATATGCGAACGTTATTATTCGCACGGCTCAGCGGGCGTCGAAATGGAAGAATATGATGAGCCGCTGCAACTTTGTATGTTTGATATTCGAACCAAGAGGGGTTTTTATTAAGTGTGGATTTATTGAGATGGGGTTTTGTAAATAAATGCGCGATCAATCATGTATACAACATACTAAATTTCAAGCTTTTCCTCTCCCACCTCCTCTTTCTCCCCCAATTAAACTGCAACAGGCAAGCTTTAGAAACGGTTGATCTTGACACCGGGATTGTTTTCACAATGCTTCTCGATCTTTACAACAACTCGTCTGAAAATGTCAGACTCTAAGGTGCTTACGAACATACATCAGTCGCTATGCTGATTGAACGTGTGCTCAACTCTGATGAACCACGATTAGTATTGAATCTGAATTCA